GTTGTGAAATTAATAGAAAATAGAGTCAAGACATTGAGAAGGTTAGAAATAATGTTTTGCATTTGAAATAAGATTATTTTTAAATCAACCTTTGCTTTCGTCAAAGAATCCTCCATTTGCAGCAATTACAACATTGCAGACCTTTGGCATTCTAGCTGTTAATTTGTTAAGGTAATCTGGAGAAATTGCACCCCAAGCTTCCAGAAGCAGCTCCCACAAGTTGGATTGGTTGGATAGACACTTCTTGTGTATCATATGGTCAAGCTGCTCCCACAAGAGCTCAATGGGGTTCAGATCTGGTGACTGCGCTGGCCACTCCATTACCGATAGAATACCACCTACCTGCTTCTGCTCTAAATAGTTCTTGCACAATTTGGAGGTGTGTTTAGGGTCATTGTCCTGTTGTAGGATGAAATTGGCTCCAATCAAGCGCTGTCCACTGGGTATGGCATGGCGTTGCAAAATGGAGTGATAGCCTTCCTTATTAAGAATCCCTTTTACCCTGTACAAATCTCCCACCTTACCAGCACCAAAGCAACCCCAGACCATCACATGACCTCCACCATGCTTAACAGATGGCGTCAGGCATTCTTCCAGCATCTTTTCATTTGTTCTGCGTCTCACAAACGTTCTTCTTTGTGATCCAAACACCTCAAACTTGGATTCATCCGTCCACAACGCTTTTTTCCAGTCTTCCTCTGTCCGATGTCTGTGTTCTTTTTCCCATCTTAATCTTTTTCTTTTATTGGCCAGTCTCAGATATGGCTTTTTCTTTGCCACTCTGCCCTGAAGCCCAGACTCCCACAGCCGCCTCTTCACTGTAGATGTTGAAACTGGTGTTTTGCGGGTACTATTTAATGAAGATGCCAGTTGGGGACCTGTGAGGCGTCTGTTTTTCAAACTAGAGACTCTAATGTACTTCTCTTCTTGCTCAGTTGTGCAACACGGCCTCCCAATTCTTTTTCTACTCTGGATAGAGCCTGTTTGTCCTGTCCTCTGAAGGGAGTAGTACACACCGTTGTAGGAAATCTTCAATTTCTTAGCAATTTCTCGCATGGAATAGCCTTCATTCCTAAGAACAAGAACAGACTGTCAAGTTTCAGATGAAAGTTCTCTTTTTCTGGCCATTTTGAGCGTTTAATTGACCCCACAAATGTGATGCTCCAGAAACTCAATCTGCTCAAAGGAAGCTCAGTTTTGTAGCTTCTGTAACAAGCGAAACTGTTTTCAGATGTGTGAACATTACTGAACAATGAGCAAACACATTGTACCATTAGAACACTGGAGTGATAGTTGCTGGAAATGGGCCTCTATACACCAATGTACATATTGCATCAAAAACCAGACATTTGCTGCTAGAATAGTCATTTACCACATTAGCAATGTATAGAGTGTATTTCATTAAAGTTAAGACTAGTTTAAAGTTATCTTCATTGAAAAGTACAGTGCTTTTCCTTCAAAAATAAGGACATTTTAGTGACCCCAAACTTTTGAACAGCAGTGTATATGTATACCGTATATATATATCTTTATACTTATTTTCCTTACTGTATATATATTTAATTTCCTGTTCACAACACATCTTAAGGCACTTTACAGAGACAATTCAACAAGATCATAGTCTTATTTCTATCAAAGGAAAACCAGCTGATTGCATCGACCCTTTGACTTGAAAGCAATCCCTCACCCGAAGCATGCATGTAGTGACAGTCGAGAGGAAAACTTGCTTTTAACAGGAAAAAAACTCCAGTACTCTGACTGTGTAACTCAGTTCAACTATCCATGTAAAGTGCTTTGAGATGGCATGTTGTGAATTCTCTATAATTAATCAAAATCGAATTAAATTAATTAATCCATCCGTACATTTTCTGTCACGCTTATCCCAGCTGGGGTTGCGAGGGGTGCTGGTGCCTATCTCTAGCTATCTACAGGTGAGAGGTGGGGTACACCCTGGACTGTTAACCCTCCATCGCAGGGCAACACATAGACAAACAACCATTCATGCACACACTCACACCTAAGGAGAATTTAGAGAAGCCAATCAACCTAACAGTCATGTTTTTCTGACTGTAGGAGGAAGCTGGAGTACCCGGAGAGAACCCACGCATGCTCAGGGAGAACATGCAAACTCCATGCAGAAAGATCCCGGCCTGGGAATCGAACCCGAAACCTTCTTGCTGCAGGGTAAGGCTTAAAATAACTTGTAATTAATCAAATCAAATTATTTTAAATAATATAACTTTAATCAGTGTTAGACACTGCATTAATAAATGAAGAATCCTCTAAGATTATTTATATTATGGTAGCACTGTGTTCCTACAGCATGATGGTTTCAGATTTTAATCATAGCCTTCTTTTCACATTCTGCCAGTGCATTTGTGGCTACTTTGGCTTCCTTCCACACTCCAAATGACTGTAAGACTAATTGGTATTTAAAAATGGCCAAATGTCAGTGAAAGCATATTTTAAACCCCCTATTGAATTTAGGCATTATCTAAACTGTCTATCTCCTATACTGCAGTTATTCTTATTTGATTGTTCAAGTCCTGAAAAGGAAACACTTTGCAAACTAAACAAATAAAGAAAATTGTGTTACATGTGTCCCTAGCTTCTTGCCTTTTGTTTTAGTTTTCTCCTGAGTGTTTATCAGCTCAGTGATGCTTCTACTCTGGTCATTAGATGGACTTTTATCTCTTGAGTGCATTACTTCAACCCCACTGTCTGCATATTAGTACAGTGATCAATAGTTATGGCTAGACTAGTATGGTATTTAATATCACAGAGACAGAGAGATTGAGGAGAGTGGAGGTGCAAAGACAGCATTTTTATAGCTTTGAACCAGGAAATTGTTTTGATCCAATTATGGAAATTTGTCAGAAAAGACAGAGAACTAGAAGCAGTGTAAAAAATAAAAATAAAGGGGCATCTTAAAATCCCAATGTAAGAAGCATTTTATTCTAAATAATTCTTTCTTCAAAAACGATTTCACACTATTCCAAAGCAAAGACAAAATGAAGACTCCCTTTTCTTGTATTTTCCTCTTACCAGCATCTGTTACCATCGACTCATAAAAGATGAACAGACAGAACCAAATCAAATTATTTCTTCACTCCAGAAAGCTTCAAAAGCCTTAAAACAGCAAAGATAAAAGTGTCTAACATAAACAATTGTGAATGTTAGAAATAAGACACACTGTTGTAAAGATTATAGTAGTATGTATAGTATAATCTATTAAAAGTGGAGGAGGCTAGAGTAGAAAGTGTACTACTAGTAGTACTATAACATTTTTTCTACACAGGTTAAAAAAAAAGTAGTCTTCCAAGAAACAACTCAAGTAAGATTAAATCAGTACTTGGTTCTGGTTAATTATAAGCGCGTAACATCTGATTTGCTGTTTCAAATTAAATAGACCAGGAGTTCCATAAGGTCCATTAAGATCGTCAACCCTCATAAATAACAATGCAACAGACTGGTGACCCCCAACAATGTATTTTACACTCATTTACTTTATATTATCTATATATATAAAGAGAGTCAAGTAATTCATTTTTAAGTACATTTATTTTGTAAAATTGCAGTTCATAATTTCTGTCAATAATTTTAAATGTTTTTATTTATTTATTTATTTATTTATTGAATGGGGTATTAAATTATTCATTTTTTCATTTTACAATTTAATGGAACAATAGCAAATTGCAAAATGCATAACAATATTTGTTTTAGAAAATGAAATAAATGTTATATCTATTTATTTTATTAACATTTATATGTTTCATGATAGATTTTGGTCCTCCATAAACGATCCTTCAGGGGGTCCCGTCCCCTATGTAGGGAACCCCTGTTATAGACAGAGATTTATGGGCAAGTGGTATTTCAAAGTCATGAAATAAAGTTCTAAAATTCAAATAAATAACATGATTACAAAATAACAAATAAATAACAGGTTTACAAAATAACAAACTGGGACAGACGAAAAACTTTTCCAGATTAATTGTTTTCAACTTAATCTTATAAAACCAATCCTAACTGTAGGTAATGCAAAGTTTATGAAAGGTTAAAGAAGATCTTGCTTTAATATCTGCTTACTTTGAATTCACCTGCTCACCAAAACTGTGGGTGGAGTAACCAGAGAGTTTACTCAGGAAAGGGTAGCGATACGCTCATATGATTATTATTTAATTAATAGTTAAAAGCAAAACAAATTACAACCATTGTTACAATTGCATTTTCTTTTAAAAGTCTCTTAAGTAACTGGAATTAGTTACTATCCTCTGATTTGTAGTCCCTACATGTCTCCATGTTGTCGAAGAAAACATTCTCATTTGCAACTCTAGCCTCTTTGTAAAGACAAGTAGTTAAATGAATATATGAATAAATAAGTTATACAATTGAAGAACAAATATGCATTGTGCACCAAGTGAAGTGCCCTGGTTACCATGGTCTTTTTTTACATAAATGTTCTGTTAGCTTTTTAAGGTCTAAATTTCACATTTAGGGTACCACAATAAATCAATCATAAGTTCGGTAGATACATTTTATTTAAAATGAAAATTTATTGTATTTTTTTTCAAATAACAGAATCACAATAACAGTTAGACATATAGTCCCAGAAGTATATAATTTAATGATCCTTAGGAAATGTTTTTTGTTGTCAACAACAAGGTTAGTGTGTATTTCAACTTGTATATATGGCTCTTTTACTAACTAATAAGTGAACTTTGATGACCTTAAATTTACTTCATTTAACCCATCCTCTTGGGGTGCAGTGGGCTGCCATTGTGGGGTGCCCAGGGAGCACTGTGGGGTTAAGGGCCTTGCTCAGGGACCCAAAGTTGAATTCAGAACCTCAGGATTCCAAGCTCTATGCACTAACCACTAGGCCACCAATCCCCGCCAGTAGCCGCTACTTGAAGTTCTAGACTTTGTCCTATATATATATATATATATATATATATATATATATATATATATATATATATATATATATAGTATGTATCTTTTTTAAACCTGCATGTGTAGCTGTGTCCCAGTGAGAAATAAATCTAATCTAAAATAATCTGAACCCATGAGCACATTTTTTTTTCTTGTTAGAATTTATTAAAACTCAATGTTTCACTTAATCTAATGCATCTTTAAAGGTCCCAAATGTTTATGTTATATTTATGCCTGTGTGGAGAAATCTTTCCATAAGCACAAATATATCCGTCTATATTTATCTTCCTAAGATAGTAAAGTAATATTGTTTTAAATAGCGCAAAACTGCATAATCAATCAGGAAACAGGAGTTCAATGTGTGCTATTGCTTTGTAAAACTACTGTAATAAAGTACCCTTTGAGGTAGATGAGTCTCCTAATGGGAGTAACATATTTTCTCCACAGGAAAGGTTGATTAAAGGTGACCTTACCATGCACTGCCAGCTGGCCACAGTGTGTAATTTCTTTTCAAATTTGTGTAGTGGCCGCAGTCGTCTGGTACTTACTGAATCTTATTTGCTTTGCAAATGAGACTCAGCATTGAGCAGGCAGGTTTTTGAGCTGTTTCCACAGGGTCAGCATTTCCTTTGGATTCCGTCTGTGAACAAGCAGAACAGATCTATACGCACATGGATTGTTCCTGTCTGTAGCAGGGAGATCAAATGTTAAGAAGCCCGGGTGGTGAATTGGAGAGAGCCCGAGTCTGTTCAGGCACATGCCCAGGTACACATCATCAATTGGGAAAAGGCGAACCCTTTCAGACACCTCTTGCAAACGTAAAGCAAGTGAACCTGAATACACCACCCCTCCTCCGCCAGCGTAGGGTGGGTACACACCTTTGTAAAAACTTTCAGGTATGTAGTATTTCACCGAGGGCTCTCGGTTCGGCATCGCATTGCTGATCACATCACCAACAAACAAATTCATGTCAGTTTCATTGGTATATGTCCTCCAAAGGTTATGTTCTTCCAGTTTGTTTTGCAGGTAATCTAGTAGGGCATCTGTTCGAACAAAAACATCGTCATCCCCTTTGAAGACAAAAGCGGCAGTAGGGCAGTACTGTTGGAGCCATTTCCAGAGAAGCAAGTCTTTCAAGGTCAAATTGAAGAATGTGTCTCTGAAATCCCACTGAAGAATATCCCCATACTTCTCGTTCTCAAGCTCCAGGAGGTTATTCAGGTCTGGGTAAGGACCTGTGCTTGAGTCCTGCCTTCCAAGTAAGAAAACCGTGCGTACTAGACCCCCTTTTTTATTGAACTCGCCCCTCACCAGCCCGCTCCGCCCCCATGTTTCACGTATGGCCTGTCGGTTTTCGAAGTTCCCAATTTGCGATTTAATTGCAATGAGAAGCATGAAAGACCCCACATCAGTGCTGTCATTGTTCCTCTGACACATATCAGGCTGATTGATAAGAAGGGGGTAATCCCTACAGTGCATTGACTTGATAAATGCCCTGATTTGCTCTGGCATGCTGTTTAAGTCATTAACACGAGGAACTGAACACTTGTGTGACATGCAGTCGGATATACATTTGTCCTCAATTTGTGTAAAAGGCTGACCATTAGGCCTTCTCTGCATCCCAGTCATGTTTCCTCTTAATATTGGATTGTGCTGACGGTCCCAGGTGTGCTGCAACTGGTTCCACAGTGCGCTTTCCTCCAGTCGAAGGTTCCAGAAAGGGCCAGTCGGATGAGAGGCCAAAGCGGAGGAATTGGCAGAAATCCCTGGAGCAATGTAGTGAATTGTTATTTTTGGGGGTGCATAGGAGATGGTGACAAATATGGTCACCATGATGTAAATCACAAGATGGCCAGTCATCATACATGGCAGTAGGCACATACACAGTAATCTCCCATTGCATTTGCAGCATTTTCCCATTGTTTTACAAGACAAATACCTGCAAGAAGAAAAGGTATCTTGTTATGTTTTATATCATCAAAACAGACAGCTTTATATCATATCTCCCCTAACACAAAACACTGTAGTACCATAGATCAGATTTAACGCACAGGAGCTTCTGTCTCCGTGGTGACAATCCAGCAGGGGTTATTATCTGTTCTTGTTTGCACTCAGTACCTCATCTTTAATACCTGAGCCCCAGAGGAAAATATAATCAAAAATGCAACCCTTTTTCTTTCATTTGACATGTTAATTTCCCTTTCTACGCTTACTATGTCACATATTCTTGACAGGAGATGAAAGATAAAGCTTTATATACATGTTACTTACAAATGGTTGAAATCTTGCTGGTTGAGCTGACAAAGATTAAACAGAAAGGTGACGTCCAGTCTCCTATCTTCAGTTATCTTATATAATTATAAGCCAGCGATTTCGGGTCCAACCTGTCGAACATCATTTACATCCACAACAGGACATCCTCTAACTGTACATCCAACAAGTGTTTCTCTATTGCCTTGCCAGAGGAAACTAAGCAACGCATCCCAGGTGAAGCAACCTGTGTGGAATGAGCATGCGCCTCTTTGACTGCTCATTAAATAATGAGAGAGAAAAAAACACCCAGGGGAGGGGTATATTATCTTTAGCGGACAGTGGTTGCTTTCACAGTGATTTCTCAGAAGGAGATTTTGATTTGCATCCATGTGCTGCTGGGGAATATTTGCATGGTTCCAAGCAAAATGGCCTGCTAAACATGCTTGGCCGTCTATGTGTTCTGTTGTGATTTATGAAATGTGAAGCATATTTACCCGAGGTTACAGAAGTGTATATGAAAATACACTACAGTGATTTGCAAAATTAGCCATCCCTCATTGTCTCTTTAACATTCTTGTATTTTCTATGACCAAAACCTTGCTCATAGAAGATACAGGAATTTGGTTATAGAAATGAAAACTTCCTAAAGAGGACTTTGGTCTGTTGAGCAACAGTCCCATTCTTCTACCTCTTAGTTCATGTAAGACACTTCTTACATAATCCCTGATTTGGGAATGGCTCCTCAAATGGAATGTGATAGCTATAGCCATGTATAGAAAAGAATAGAATTAAACTTTATTGTCATTACATTGTTGCAAGTACAAAGCAACAAAATTCAGTCCCTGCATTTAACCCATCCTTTTGAGGAGCAATGGGTTGTCATTGTGTGGTATCCGGGGAGCAGTGTGGGGGTTAAGGGTCTTGCTCAGGGACCCAGAGTGGCAGTCTTCGGGGGTGGAGCTTGAACTCAGAACCTCTGGGATCCAAGCGCAATGCCCTAATTTCCTGGCTATCTCTATGGGTTAGACCAGGGGTGCTCTGGTCCAGTCTTCAAGAGCTTCTTCCATTTTTAACATACCTGAATCAAATGAGTGGCTCGTTACCTTGCCTCTGCTGGGCTAAATGAGGGGACTGAGCCTTTCAACTGAGGTGTGTTAGAGAAGAGATGTATCTGAAAGTTACTGGTAGCTCTTGAGGACTTGACTTGAGTGCCCCTGAGTTCAACATATGGTTACCTCAGATTCCACCTACAATCCACCTTTGTGAATCTCCCCCTAACTCTTGAATGGGCTTTACACAACAACCCCTGTTACTATGGTATTTTAACCCTTTTTCCCCTGTGTGTGTTTTGTCTTGTAAAAAAACCACTCTTTTTCTTTGATCAAAACTTTACAATAAAGAAACTTTATTAGCACATTGTCAACATCAAACTTCTTTATTAATGACCGTTTATTGGCTTACCCTTTTCTTTAAGGTGTGAATGTGGCTTAAATCATCAGCCTCCTACCTATTTGTGTAGAACATAAAATAATATAGCGGTATGGAAAAACATACTTATTATTGTTACCATAGAAAATTCAAATTTTTTATAGATGCTGACTTTGTGACTTCAATTTTTGGTAATTAAAGTAAAAGCTTAAAATACATGTAGAATATAATACGATTTCACTCTTTTCAGTTGAATTGCAAATAATTAAGCACATTTTTGATTAAAATCTATTTTATTGAGCTATATTAAAAACTATGATGCATGAGAAAATTCCCTCCTGAAAAAAGAAAACAAAAAATAAAGAATAAAGCAAACTTTTGATTACAATCTATTTTATTGTGCTATATTAAAAACTATGATGGATGAGTAAAATGTTTTCCTGTCAAAAGAAAATAAAAAATTCTCATAATGTTGTTTTCCAGTATGCAAAAACATACTTATTATTGTTGCCATATTAAATTCACTTTTTTTTTTTTTACAGATGCTGACTTTGTAACTTCAATTTTTGGTACTTAAAGCAAAAGCTTAAAATACAATTAAAATATAATATGATTTCACTCTTTCAAATTGAACTGCAAATAATAAAGCAAACTTTGAAGGTATTCTCTGATGCATAATAAAATTTCCTCCTGACAAAAGAAAACATAATGTTGTTTTCCAGCCTAAGCATGACGGATGTATATTTGAACCAATAGAAAGAAGAGTTGTTAACTTCTAATTAGCGGATTCCCAATATTCAGCCAATAGAAATTAAGAGGAGGCGGGGCTTAAGGGTGCCATTTTGAGTGAATGTTTTGCGTGAAGAGATGCACGTTTGGTTGAGCTATGAATGAGGGGCCATCATTCCGGTGGCTCGGAGGTGGAAAACAGTTTCTACCCTCGCTACGTGTATTACGAATAAATAGTCAGGTTTTTCTGTCAGGTACTTGAATGACTAGTCCACCACATTTCATCTTTCTGCCGGGTAAGTGTATTTTTAAGCTTGTTTGATATCGGGTTTTTAAGCGACAAAACATGCAACAGTCCTGTTTATTTGTCTGTGGCACTAAGTAGCAAGCTTGCTAGCCTATTTTCTTTCGTACTCTTTTTGCTTTTAAAGCTAATCTGAAAATCGTATCAGGTATTTTAAAAGTGAAGAACCATGTTTTCTCTTTAACCGAGCATGTAAGTAGACTATTTTTGTGTCTGGCTTTAGTGAAAGCCGTTACACATATGGTTGTTTTGAAGTCGCCGTTAGCGTTAGCTTATTCTTTAGATCGTGTGTATCTATCTTCTCAGGGAAGAAGTAACCCAAACACATAGTTTCCCACGCAAAAACCAGGTCTGCTTACAAAACAACTGAGCAAATATTCCCAAGAGAACCCTGATAGCTAGAGCCGAGATAGGTGGTAGCCATATCATCACCTTTTTCCCTGGTTCAGTTCATCGGCTAACGTTGAGACTTTATCCCCTCACTCTGAAGGCTCCTTGTGCGCTCTGTTACTGTGGGATTCCTCACAACAAAGGCTTCTGTTGTTTCAGCAAATTAGTTACCCTCATTTGTGTTTTAACCTTTAGCTGAAGTAATTTCAACAACAACATGAAAGCCCTCTCCCTCAAGCATTCAGTAATGCATTCTTGCAACATCTCATGGTGCTGCTGAAGGTGCAGTTAGGGAAACCCTTCACATTTTTAGTCTGAGTTGTGTGTTTATAAATGACAATAAATAGAGCATTAAAATGCATTGAGACCCCCCCATCAATTTTAAATGTATAGTATTTGAGATTAAGAATGCTGTCCCTCCTGTCAACAACACTGGGACCCAATTTGAAATGTTCAACACAGAATCTGCAGAAAACTTGACAATTTTTCAAAGTGGCTTTAAAGATAAATTCTGAAGCGAATTTAAAGAAAAAAAGGTAAAATGAATTACATTGACAGACTATTACAAATGTTAATTAAAATTTCAGTTGTAGTGATGCACTACTTTTCAAGCTAGTTCAACATTTACACCACCACGCTTGTTAATTTGACTTTATGCACACCTGCATTTCAGTGAATTATAATCACAGTTGTAAGTTGATGTTTTTAGAAATATTGTTCAGCAAGGGAAACCCATGTAGCATTAGGATTTAATATATAGTCATATTATTCAGTTTATTGTGTGTATGTGTTTATTATTGTTTTTTTAAGTTTATTTATTTTTTTTTATCTCTGTAGCAATTGTGGCCTTTTCCAAATTTTGGACAGGAAGAGGTTGGAGAAATTCAGTAAAAGTGTAGTGTGAAGCACAAGCACTGCGACTATTGAAACCAGCTTCTGTAATCCTGCCGTCTAGAAACATAAACTAAGTCGACTTTTTTTTCTCCATTGTAAACTTTGTAGTTTATGCTTAAAATTAAGTGTTTTGTTTTTCATGTTTTGTTGTTATTCTGATTAGGCATGTGCTTATAAAACAGTTTTCCCCCCCCATAAAGGTGGTTAACAAACAACAGAAACTTATTTAACCTATGTTATTTGGTAAATTTGATTTGTTTTAATCTAACAAAGCACAGTTTGGGGCTACAGACCCACTTATAATAACATATTTATAAAATATTTGGGCAATTAAAGGAAAATGTTGTCACACTTATGGTGTAGTTTGCTGTTTTCTGGTTCGTTTAGGTCGTGTATACTGTGCTGTTGGAAGAAGTCCAGAGGTTAAGCAGGTGGATTTAATTCTAGGAAAGACCAGGCACTTTCAGAGTAATGCACAAATGATGGTTATCCCTTCCTTCCTTGAAGTATTGTGGGGTAATTTGCTATCGCTCTTTTCACACAGCAGTCTCTAAGCTTTATTGATCAGTGCCGTTGCTTCACAAATCTAAAGGCTTGGGAGATTGTGTATCTGAAAAGCTTTTAGTGACGACTGTCCTAATTTGCTTTGTCTGAGCTTATTTGAAACATCCTTCTAGCTTTCAGGTTTTGACCTTCTTGTTTTTGGCATACAGTGCCTTGTGAAATTATTCCCACACTTTATGTTACAGACACTGATTTCTCTATTTAATTTGGGTGGGATACACAAAATGACCGCTTATTTTGAGGTGGAAGTGTTAATACTTTATAGCCCTAAGTTATAAGTCAGTTGCAAAGAGCTGGACTGAGGGCTCCCCCTGTGGTTCATTTATTCTTGGCAATATTTGCAAAGGACTCAGGGGCTTGTTGTGCAAACATCTCATGAAATGCTCCTGATTTTATCATCTAAAAATAGATGGAGAGAAAAATAAGTAGTAACTTATAAGAATAAATAAACATGGCTGTTTACCTAAAATGACCGGCACAGCAGGGAGAGCATTAATCAGAGAAGCAGCCAAGAGGCCTGTGGCAACTTTTGAGGAGCTGCAAAGATCTACCTCTCCAGAAAAAATCTAAGATTTCAGCTGTTATGTAATCTACAAATGCAGGGAGGGAGGGTTTCTTTTCTAAGAAGTCATATTTGTAGTTTATCATAAACAACGTAGAGGAAACTGCCAACTTGCAGGAGCAGGAGGGCTGGTGACAATCCTTACGGCAACAGGCGGTGGTCACAGCATCATGCTGTGGGGATAGGGTAGCTGTCTAAATGCAAGGCTGTCCTTGAGTAGGTTAATCTACCAGAAGTGTTGGATTCATCCACATTTCCATCACTTTCAGTCCAAATAACTAAATCTTGTGTGATACAGAGCCATTTTTGCTTTATTGTCATTATAGCGGATTTTTTTAAAGAATATAATAAACACCTCCCTATGGACAAGTATGAATATATCTAAAAAGGCATCTTATAAGTTTGAGGTCTAAAAATAAAGTGAGGAAAATAGCAAATTGTGTCAACATAAAAAGTATATCCTGAAATCAAGTATGCTCACTATCTGTATTATTTAAACAGACAGATATCCATGGAGGGTAAACTTCCATACTGTTTAATTGTGTGTGTTTTTATAAACTTATTTTAACCACCTCTTAATTAACTCCTTTATTTTATTTAATTCTAATGTTTCTTTTTACACTTTAATTGTAGAAATGTGATATATTTAAGCTAGATGCACAGTGCAATGTAAATACAATTCATTACTAGTTTCTAACACTACTCCTCCTACAGTTGAATACAAGAGGCTGCCCTATGTGGTTGGCACAAATATAGTATACTTTTATAGCAACAATTCATGGTTTTAAAACATAAGTACATTAAGTGTGAGCATTAATGGCAATCCTTATAGACTTCACATTTTCTATTGCACCAAGAACAGACATTTGCGGTTATGTTTTTTATATTTATATATTTTTAAAAACAAATCGGAGTGTGTATGACGTCATCTGCGTGCCGGACTGGAGTTGTGACAGGCAGCCCGGGCCACAGGCGGCTACGCTCTACAACTTCTATTCATTCGGCTAGCTAATCTGAATCGTTCAATTCCATATCGAGAGTGAGATCATCTGTGGTAGTAGCACTAGACATCTTCAGGCATATGAGTAAAATTAGCAGCAGTTCAGCGAACAGGATGGATGAATGCTAGCCGGCATGCAAGGTGTACCATAACGAATAAATTATGAGCCGTTTAGTTTGCCTTCAACTCGCTGCCCATAGGAAGACGTTACTTGGATATAACAAAACCAAATATCTTCGGAACAGCTTCAAACGACACAAAACTAATATGGGTGAGTAGAACATGATGTAATCACCTAAAACAAGGGGCCAGTGTAAATAAACTGGTGTTCCCCTTTAAGTCTTCACCAGGTTTGCTCACACTGTAGCTGGTATTTTAGTTATTTTCGCTCCCCTATGCGACACTGTAGATATGGGGTTTCCTAGGATGCATCTCTGCATTCTTCTCGCTCCAAACACAATGAGTTGAATTTGTGCCAAAATGTTGTACTTTGGTTTAACCACATATTCTCCCAATTGTCTCCTGGATCATCCACAGGCTCTCTAGCAAACTTCAGACGGGTCTGTACATGTGCTGGCTTAGGGCGGGGGCATGTCTAGCACTGTAGGGTTGGAGCCCCTCTTGGTGTAGTGTGTAACTATGGTGGCCTTAGTTACTTTGGTCCAAGCTCTCTGCAGGTCATTTTTCAGGTTGCTTAGTGTAATTCTGGGATTTTTGCTCACCATTTTCATGATCATTTCCCTGATGCAGAGATCATCAATGGTCTTTATCTTTTAAATGACCAGTTTTTGGTCTCAAATGATCAAAAACTGCACATTTTATGCCAGGCTTAACTATTTAACTTACACAATAAGCGGTTCACTCAATACGTGTATTTATTTATTGTTTGCCTAAGTGAAGTTAATAAATTGGACATTTCTGAGGTAAATTGGAATTTTCTGATTCATAAAATAAACTAAAATCTGAATCCCAAACCAATAGTGTATTGCCTCCGTCCCCATTTTCCCATGATACAATTTCACTAAACATAAACTATAATATATGCAGTTATTTAGTTAGTCATAGTGAAGAGGACTGAATATGAAAATACTGTCTAAAAAAGTCTAATCAGTTTTGTTAGACTTAATAGAATGTACTGCTTTAAGTGGGCGTGTCATGTTAGCCCAGTTAGATTAAATCTTATGGTTGTTACGGCTCACAATCTGAGTCTAAGGGGTATCGAAATATTTCGAAGTCACATTGATTTAAAAGGTTTCTTTTTATTTGCCATCTTAAATGTTTTCCTCATAACACACACAGTCTGTGGACAAAACTGTTTGCATGTTTCCTTGAGTGAATCATAACACACAAAAGGCAAAGATAAGCCTGTTGGAAGCAGGTCATACAACATTAAGAACAAAATCAATGACTACACAAATGGACCGGCATACCTCAGATGTTAACATTGATTTTTACAGAGCAGCATATGAGCATCTTTAAAGGTCATGTACAGTATTCAATTGGACGTTCTTTTTTTTTTCAGCTCAGAAAGCAACACTTGAGGCAAAACTGGCCAATGTTTTTGCCTTAATTGAAATAGACTCTCTGTAAACAGACATTGCTGTTTTTTCTAACTTTTAGGGAGGAAAAAAGGGGCCATTTTATACTTTTTTACATGCATATTCAGCTTATAAAATTAATAGATGCCATTAATTCTTCAATAACAACTGATCATTCTTACAACTGATCAAATGTAATAGATAAGTCACTTTCCTTTATCTCTGGAGAACGCCTTTGTACACAGGAACACCTTTAAAGGAGCTTGATTTTTATAATTCAGTAGAGAAACAGAATAAGTATGTTTATGAATGGTTAGATTACAGTTCTAGACAAAGTGTGGCTAATTGATGATCTAGCACTGCAAGGGTGTGTGATGTTTTGACTGCCACCTTGGTTGATGGTATGATTATGAAGATTCTTGAATCAGGAGATTGTGTGGCGTCTTAAAAAATAATATGGTTGGAAAGAAATGTGCAATCCTGTCTTGTCAACATTTCCTAGCTGCATTTATGTTCCACTGATGCATTTTCTCTCTTTCTTAGGTTTTCTTGGATGTTCTCTTCCAGTCCCTCATTTTGTTCCAAGATTCCCCAGGATCATTTAAGACCAATGCCTTAGCTTTATAATCGATTACAAGACTTGCAGACAACTGGTTTATGTTAAGTTTTAGAGCCCCTTTCCTCACAGAGTTTTACTTGACATCAGTTTAAAAGGGGCCATCAGAATTCCTCAAGCTTCAGCTAAACAAAACAAGAGCCACCATGTCCTCCATCCTCCCCTTCACACCTCCGGTTGTGAAGCGCCTCCTGGGATGGAAGAAGACTCCAGCTGGCAGTGGAGGAGCTGGTGGAGGAATCAGTGGAGTCGGGGAGCAGAACGGAGGAGGGCAGGAGGAGAAATGGTGTGAGAAAGCTGTGAAGAGCCTGGTGAAGAAGCTGAAGAAGACAGGCCAGTTGGATGAGCTGGAGAAAGCAATCAGCACACAGAACAGCAACACAAAGTGTGTTACAATACCTAGGTAAGAGCCCCTGATAACTGCTATTTAAATGTCCTGGTATACCTGGAATCACTTGTATGTTACTGCACCCCCTTTGCTGATAAACAGTGCAATCTGAAGCAACAATCATTCAAAAAAAGATGATCTGCATCAAGATTGTCACCGGAAGTGTAGTTTTCATGTTGCAACAGCAGGTTCACTTCCCTGTTATGTTGTGCCATAGGTTAAGAAGGTTACAGAAGTGAAACCCTGGTAAAGGAAACACATGCCCTGCATACAGCACCAGCAGAACCCGTTCTAGACTTGACCTGATGAATATCATCAGTTAAGACATTTAAAAATGCTAAGGCTACTTCCTCTAGGTATTTAATCACATCTCAATGATTTTCAGATAACTCAGTGCTGCTGTTAACCTTTGATAGTTCGTACCAATCCAACAGAGAGTTTAGTGATGCCTTTTATGCGTTTTCACAGAAAAAGCGAGCACCATGATATTAGTACATTTGGTCAACGTGGTGTAACTGGTAGCACCACCAATCATCCGACCCACTTTGGTTAATTGGACTATTGTGACTCTTGACTGCATCCCTGGCCAGTGGTCGGAACATGATTGTAGTTTCGAATCACATGATGACTTCAGAATAATATATTTACTTTAGTATTGCTTTTATAGGTGCAACTAATAATTATTTAGTTGGTGATTAACACGTATTTTTTATTTTTCCAGATTAGTTGGTTATTTTAATCATTCTATTTTTCTGGTGCCAGTTTTTGTTCTCATTATGTCATCACAGTAAAGGAAGGTGAAGAATTAAGTTTGCATTTTACATTGTGTCAGATCTGTGGGTTAGTGCTAAATGGTAGTTCAGTTTATTATGGTTTATTGTAGGAAAAACTAGATATCCAGTGTTTGGTTCTGCAGGTACTTAAACTGTTAAACTGTGTAATCTGTTATTTTACTGACCTGATTCTGACCAGAGCTGCAGGGGAAAAACAGCGCAACAGGTGTTGTGCTACAGAATTTATTTCCCCAGAGTTGTTTACTGCATCTCGCTTCCACTCACATTGCATGATTCATAGATCTGGCAGATTTAGATTAAAATGTGTTTCATGCTATCAAAGCGTAGGAAACAAGGAAACATGATGTAAAAAGGAATAAAAGATAAAGGATTCACTCTTCTTAGACGGTGTGGTATGGAAACAATTTCCCCGTGGAACTCCATACCTGTGCAGCAGGTCAAAGATAATGTGGTCTCATCCGGAAATGTTTTAATCCTGTTCCCTCTGTGCATTATCAATGTTGTTGTTATTAATAGGTTTATTATTATTATTAAATGATAAAAATAGATTAGTTGTATCCTTACCCTAGACACTGCTCCCATGTCTTGTAAAGTTAAAGTATAATCTAGCAGGTTAGGTGTATAAACTGTGCCTGTGTAGTGAAACTTTGTTATCATGCAAGCGTTTTTACATTTTCATGTGAATTTGTTTAGTTCTGCAGTATTTCTCCTAAATGCATCGTTGTCCTGCCCTGTAAAGGTTGAGCAGTGGGCGTGGCAGTCATTTTTCAATTGGTTCAAATGAAACATGCTTTTACCACTGCTACATGTGTGTTTGGTTTTGTCGCCACAGCCCCAGATTCGGATAATTGACTTACTCACATGGACACAGGACCCCATCTTTACTCAGCCTGTCCTCCATAGTCTCTTGCACCTGCTTTGGGCAAAGTTGAGTCAGGATAGTGAGTTAGTGTTTCAAACTGATAAAGGCCCTAGCCCAGTGGTTCTCAACCTCGGTCCTCAGGGACCACTGCCCTGCATGTTTTAGATACGTCTGTTGCAGCAGACCTGATTCACATGAGGGCTCCTCCTCTGCAATCAGGTGCTGCAGAAGCCTGTTAATCATCTATTCTTCTCAGGTGTGATGCAACAAGGGAACGTGTGAAACATGCAAGACGGATCCCTAAAGAACAGGGCAGAGAACCACTGCTCTAGTCCATTGGGCTCCGCAAAGCCTCCCCTACATCTCAGGTGACGAAGGGGATTCAAAAATCATCCACCTTTAAAAGATTGATCTGTTGTAACGACCCACGTGACTTTTCTCATTCATCATTCTTTCAATATATCTTATCTAGCTGCCAATTTCCTGATTACTACCCCTCCGATCAACCTCCACTGCTCATCCTCACACTTTAGGCTGGTTAATGCTTCTTTCTTATGCAAGTTCTGCCTAGCAACACACAGTCAGATTGTGATTTTAGCTTTAAACCCCCCCGCCAAACAGCTCCAGCCTGACTTTGTTTTTATTTTCACACCTAGGAAAAAATTGTAACAACCCAGTTCCACATTGAAGAACATGGAGGGCAAGTGATGGCTCTTACTCGCAATGGTTTGCAAATATAAACATCTGCAGACATTCTATTAATTGGCCTGTAAATATCAACACCGTCAACAGACTGCAAAGATCTCCTTAGATTACATGAAGAGGCATAGAACATTTTGGAAATAAGTATGTTCTTAGCTTCTACAGGTAGAAAACCTTCATAAAATTGGGGAAAGGTGCACAAATTGAAATGCTGCAGACTACAGATCCGTCAATAACAAACCAGTCTTTATCCCTGCCTGTGAGACTCCTCCCACTGATCACTTTGTTAGCGTTTCTTTTTTTGGGGAACAGGGTAGTTTTTGAAATTGGGGTGAGTTATGCTTTAAGAAGGTTCTTATCAGGTCACAGTTACTGCTATGGTGCAAGGTTCCAGTAAAAAAGATTAAGGAAAAATGTATTTTTAATCTATAGATCTATGATGTCTTTTACTGTAAACAACAAGCTGACCCTATGCTGGGAAAGATCCTAATCTAACTAACAGGAAATTACAGTTGAAGCATACTGAAAATTCAGTGCAGTGATTTCAGATTATTTGAATGTTTCTTCCAGAAAGCTGATCTGATTTGCTTGTATGTGTGATTTTTTTTTTTTTTTTTCTTTTCTGGTTTATAAACATTTACTGTAACTATATATAAAGTGCCTTACTGGCACTTTATATACGTTTTATTTTTTTTACGTATTAGGCAAGAGCCCCACACCCTTTTTGTGTGTATACGTTTTAGCATTAATTATAATCTTTAAAACAATTACCAGGTTAACCAGCTGATGCATGCTAGGTTTTGAGTCTCGTCATTTGTTCTGAAAACAAGCTTAAAGTTTGCAGTAAATTTCTAACTTAAGTTTTAAAAAGTTCTAATAAAACTTTCAACATCAAAACGATGTATAAAAAAATTAGCTTCAAATTTTTAAATCACTTATCTTAAAAAGATTGAATAGTTTTAAGGATTTTTTGTGTGATTTTAATTTACTTATCAAGTATCTTTTGGAAGTCTTATTTAATTTTGTTGTAAGAAGCAAGAAGCTGCAATAGGCTTGTTTTTAGACGGCTGAATGGCAGTGTGCAACACTCCTTTATTTTATACTCTGTACAGCAGAGAAAACAAAACTCAGAGCTTCTAAAAGGTGCTGAAGTGCCAAGAAGGTAACTAAGCGTTTTGATTCGGGTGTGTCAGAGGACTCAAGGACTGAAGTCACAGACACAGCCCGCAGTTTCTCTGACTTCAGTCAGTATATTGTTAGAAAAAAGAAAAAATCAACCCCTTTTCTGAAATGGCAGGATGTACAACCCAGAAGAACACACTGGTTTACTGCAGATGGCATTCAGGCTTGTAATGCATACAGCTTTTTTTTTTTCCTTTGAATGTGAGGAAATGGTCTGATAAAATCTAAGATGGATCGCTTTAGTCATGTTCTTGTAGTTGTGATCTTAAGCAGCTGGGTCCTGGGGGGTGTTGTCAGCATGGTGTCTAAATGGCTGCTAAATTGATGCCAAATGAAGGGCTTTGTAGATTTCTGTTGAGGCTTCTAATGTCAGCATAGCTCTACCATGTAGAAATCATTGAAACTTGGTAGATTTTTGTTACTTAATGTTTGTTTGTTACTTTTTTTTAGCTTTAGACAGAAATGGTAGTCCATATAGAGAGTGTGCTAAAGCTATAGTGGAAAAATTTTCTTGTTTTCAAATCTAAAATCAACCTTCATTTATACATACTTATCATATAACTAATGTTTAAGCCTCTTGATATCAACTGGGAGCTTTAGATTAAGCATTGTTGACCAGAAGACTATATATTTGCTTTAAACAATTAAATAAAAAAAGGCATTTGGCAATTTATTTGCATTCAGTGGGACTGTACTTTGCCTGTAAGTAAAAGAGTTTCAATATATAAAGACTTGTAGAGACGGCTAAGACAACTATTTCAACCAAACTGCAAAATCTCCCTTTCTTTTCTGAATACAGCGATGAACCTTTCAACAATCCAACCTTTCTTTGATGCACATGAATATTTTTTCCCCTCTTATTTAGTCTTACAATTCCAATGTCTTTGTCCTCTGAGATCTCATTGTGCAATTTGTCTGACTTTTCACCATCTCACTTTTTTGTCTTGCAATATGTTCAAATAAAAGGTGTTTTATGTGTGCAGCTTAAGAGGATATTAGTTTTAAATATGAAAAACTATAAAATTACAAGTTTAAACACTTGAAAGATTATAACCATTTATCTCTTGCTTGGTTGTATTATTTATTTATTTTTTTGAGTCAAAAAGTTTTAACTGTTTAAGTTCAAATCTTGAAGTTTTTCATGATCTAGGTGTGATCTTGGATAAAAGCTTCTTCCACCATTTGATTGCATCACATCGCATTTTGTCTGATTTGAATTTGTTGCATGATCATGTTCCATCTGCTGTGTCTCTCTCTGGGTACACATAGTCTATATGCTAAAAGTTTACTTCTCATCGGCCCTCTGAAACTTAAACCTCTAGTTGTTCAATGCAGTTTAGGTCAGGGCTGTTTATTCTACTTAATTTCTTCCATCTTGATTTATTTGACTTGATGTCTTGATGTTGCAATGATGGGACATCCCCATACTGCTCACAAAGTTGCCCAAAATGTCAGGATTAAGAGTTATATCAACTGAAACGGCAGCCTCTTACCACAATCTTCTGCAGCAAACTTCACACAGAACACACAGGTGTCAGCCAATGCATTTCTCATTACAACTCCCGAACCCAAAAGTATTTGCTCACAAAAAAGGTGAGCGAATACTTGATCAAGAGACCAGCTGTTCACATCTGTACTTTCATTTTTAAGTTGAAACACCTCATGTTTACCATCTGTTTGCTTTTATTTTGATCATGTTTTCCACTTGTCCTGTCTATGTGTGTCTGTAGCAATTGCTCAGAACTGTGGGGTCTAGGCCCAGGCCACACGATAGAGCAGTGGGACTCTACAGGCATGTACGGATACCCTGACCATAGCAGGTGAATACACTCACATCCACTGTCAACATACATTTCCTCATCTGCACAAACCTCATGCAATATAATGGTTGCCTTGTCTGTTACAAACATGCATTGTCATTGTAAATTGCATTGTGTGCTCATTACCATTATTCTTTCATTATTTATGTTGACTTTACTGTTTTAATCACAGAAAACTAACCAGTATATGCTGGGGGTTTTTTAAACTCCAGTCAGCTGTACCACTATGGCAAAATAACCAAAATGTTCAGAGCACTCTAACCAGTTGGGGTATTGATAAAGAGCACCTGGAATATCCTGAGGTGTTATTGACATAACGTTGGAAATCGGACTATGTTGGTTGTTTTGCTGAATCTTTCACGATTTTTTTTCTTCTCAGTGATCTAATCACATTCAGGTTATCTCAAGAGTTTGAAGGGGAATGGATCTCTCTGTACTTAGGTTCTTTCTTTATTTTAAGTTAATGGTAAG